ACCCCCCCCCCCCCCGAACTTCGTTGCGGGGATTATAATAATTGGTTATCAAAGTGCCCTAGTGTAGTTTGGTCCGCATAACAGAGGCAGTAGATATGAATAACTGGTTATCAAAGTGCCCTAGCGCAGTTTGGTCCGCATAACAGAGGCAGTAGATATTAATAAGTGGTTATCAAAGTGCCCTATTGTAGTTTGGTCAACACAAGAGGCCCAGAGGGCCTGTATCGCTCACCTGGATAACTAAGCAAAAATATTCTTTAAACGAGATCCAAGGGGAATATGCCAGACCCCAAGGCCAATCTCCGTGTAGCATATCTGTATTAGATTTTTCATGCCCAGCAATGTTATGTATGGTTATGGGGTGGGGATCTCAACTGTTTCCAAGCTGTGACTAAGAAACTAGGTCCCTAGGGGTTTAGTCAAACCCCAGGGTCTAATTCTAATATCATGACTGCATTCGTCTCTTTATGCCCAGCATTTGTATATATAGTTTTGGGGTGGGGATCTCAACCATTTTAAAGTTATGGCCCAGGGACTATGTCTCCAAGGGTGGGGCCAGACCCTAGAGCCATCCTGGAAGCAAATGTGCAATCTTCTCTTTATACTCAGCAATTGTATATACAGTTATATTGAGGGGATCTCAACCATTTCCAAGTAATAAACTTTTTTGGCCCCACCCCTTAGCCTGGGGGGGGGGTAAGCCCTACCATTTGTACAATTTTGAATCCCTGCCTCCCATGAACACTTCCGACCAAATATGATCGATATCCATGGTATAGTTCTAGAGAAGAAGTCGTTTATAACAATATAGCCAAATTGCCCCCTTTTGGCCCCAATCTCAGCCCCCTGGGGGATCAGCTACACCATTTGTACAATTTTGAATCCCTGCCTCCCATGAACACTTCCGACCAAATATGATCGATATCCATGGTATAGTTCTAGAGAAGAAGTCGTTTATAACAATATAGCCAAATTGCCCCCTTTTGGCCCCAATCTCAGCCCCCTGGGGGATCAGCTACACCATTTGTACAATTTTGAATCCCTGCCTCCCATGAACACTTCCGACCAAATATGATCGATATCCATGGTATAGTTCTAGAGAAGAAGTCGTTTATAACAATATAGCCAAATTGCCCCCTTTTGGCCCCAATCTCAGCCCCCTGGGGGATCAGCTACACCATTTGTACAATTTTGAATCCCTGCCTCCCATGAATGCTTTTGATTAAATATGATTGATATCGATCTCTTAGTTCCAGAGAAGTCGCTTAAAGCAATATAGCTAAATAATCCTTTTTGGCACTGTCCCTCAGCCCCCTAGGGGGTCAGCCCCACCATTTGTACAATTTTGAATTGCAACTACCTAGGGATGCTTTCAGTCAAATATGGTTGATATCAATCTCTTAGTTCCAGAGAAGAAGTCGCTTAAAGCAATACATGTATAGCCAAATAACCCTTTTTGGCACTGCCCCTCAGCTCCCTGGGGGGTCAGCCCCACCATTTGTACAATTTTGAATCGCCACTACCTAGGGATGCTTTCAGTCAAATATGGTTGATATCAATCTCTTAGTTCCAGAGAAGAAGTCGCTTAAAGCAATACAGCCAAATTGCCCCCTTTTTGCCCCGCCCCTCAGCCCCCTGGGTGCCCTAGTGTAGTTAATTCCGCATAACAGAGGCAGTAGATATGAATAAGTGGTTATCAAAGTGTCCTAGTGTAGTTTGGTCCGCATAACAGAGGCAGTAGATATGACTGGGTGACCCAGATAAGTCATTAGATAAATGTACATAAGTATAAGTACATGTAGATCTGGCCAGTGTGTGTGTGGCTGTAACTGGACTGGGTGCCCCAGACAAGTCATTAGATAAATGTACATACCATCAGTATAAGTACATGTAGATCTGGACAGTGTGTGTGTGGCTGTAACTGGACTGGGTGGCCCAGACAAGTCATTAGATAAATGTACATACCATCAGTATAAGTACATGTAGATCTGGACAGTGTGTGTGTGGCTGTAACTGGACTGGGTGGCCCAGACAAGTCATTAGATAAATGTACATACCATCAGTATAAGTACATGTAGATCTGGCCAGTGTGTGTGTGGCTGTATCTGACTGGGTGACCCAGACAAGTCATTAGATAAATGTACATACCATCAGTATAAGTACATGTAGATCTGGACAGTGTGTGTGTGGCTGTAACTGGACTGGGTGACCCAGACAAGTCATTAGATAAATGTACATACCACCAATATACGTCAAACAACGTTAAAAATCAATTATATTTTTGTCAAACAACGTTAAAATCTGGTATATTATTGTCAACAAACATTAAAAAACTAGTACATTACAGTCAAATAGCGTTAAAAACTAGTATATTACTGTCAAACAACGTCAAAATAACTAGTATATTACAGTCAAACAACGTCAAAATAACTAGTATATTACTGTCAAACAACGTCAAAAAAACTAGTTTATTACTGTCAAACAACGTCAAAAAAAATAGTATATTACTGTCAAACAACGTCAAAGTAACTAGTATATTACAGCCAAACAGCCCTCGTGTAGTTTGCTCACCATGACTTGCGTATAACCTTAAAACCTCCGTTTTCAACAATTAAATTGAGGCAAAACACCATGCATTTCCGTTTTGTAGCGATTTTCTAGTTAAAAAAACAATTATTTTGTAGTCATCATAAGAAAATATCGCCAAATGCTTATGGTGAAAAAGAAAATCAGAAAAGCAATTCGGATGACAAGATGTATTTATTAACACATCTACAATAACAAAATAACTATATCCAACAAAAATACATGTACTGTACATATATCCTCTCAGTTTCCTTGCAAACAAGAAGAGTTCTCTCACAAACCATTCAATCCAACCACTGAGAATATAGTGTGACCAGTTCCAGCGTGCATTGCACATGTTTATAATTATGTTCAGTGTCAACGTACATGCTAAATACTACTTGTGGCCAAAAAAATGTGTCAATGTACAAATGCTTCAAATAGTTTAAACCTTGAAATGTATTAAAATAATTTCAAAATCATGGTCATCTGTCAACCTTGATATTGTTTGTTTGACGGTAAGGTAGCGGGTAATAAGTCTTAATATCTTTTTTGGTTTTTCTGAAGCTTTCTAAAACATACCATAAATTCACAATCATCCTTCCAACTAAATTAGCACTTATCAATATAAACAAACTAGGAGGTTGTGTAAAACCTCCTCTTAAACGGTTCTTGTTTGTTTGCAGTGATAGTATATTTAGTTGTGTTCAGGAAGCACTGCTGGATGGTCCAACAACTATCCAGAAAATGTCTACCTCATTATAGAAAGGGGAATAACTCTACAATCGACTGATTTCTCAGAAGTAAAAAAGTAAATTTCCCTACGAACAGAACAATGTGCCTAGAAATATTTAAGAGCAAAATATGTTAAATACTACTGTGTTAGATAAATCATCAGGTACTTACCCAATCTATATATAGAAACACATATTTCTATACCTCTTCAGATTTTCATTGCAGACAAGAACTATATCATATTACCCAATCAACTGGCAAACACAATTTAAGGAAGAAACAAACTCAACTGAACAATGAAAAACATAAATAGGTATTCAGTGAGGTAACACCACAATGACTTTTCACAGAAAGTATTTTGTATAGGCCACACCAATTTGATAGCTAGTTCACTGGGATTTCCTGCTCCTTAAATTGGAATTTGAGAAAAAGGAATAAAAATAAAAATTGCAGATTGGTAATATTCTAAATATTTTACTAAAAAAAATAATTAAAAAATGGTTTTGCCTTTTTGCAAAAGTACAGTACAAACCATGGCCAGTCACTTAGAGACTGGAATGACACAGATTTGTACAACAGGTAACAGTAGGCATATTGATGACTAGGATATACAGATGTATAGAAACTTGACAGGGAGCATCGAGTGACAAGGATACTTAAACAGACCCAAGACGATCATGAATGGTGGTAGGGATGTAAGTCCTTGTTTTATTGCTGTTACATTACACTTTTGTAGTGATGGGTGTATTTGCGGTTTCCATATAAACACATAAGGGAGTGTCTGTTTTACTTAACACAGAAAGAGGTGTTGGAAACACGAATCTGGACACAAAGTTTGCATGACTTCTTTTACAGCATTAGGATTCACACCTTCCCCTTCCCCAATGTGAGCACCCATTGAAATAGGACTATCTTTGTTCATACTGATCAGTATATTCACATTAGGTTTATCTATGGGCATAATTTTTAAATCAAGACTTTTTGTTGTATATAAATGATTATCAATAAAAGATATGCTTAGTTCAAGAAAAAAAAGGAATTAAAAGGGCATTAAATAATAAATACTCTTTTTATGTTAAAATTCAGTAGATATTTTTGTATTAAACCTATATACATGTAAAGAGACCACCTTCCAAACAAACCAAGAAGGTGGTATGTTTCACAAAGAAATCACTACAATGGGGAACATCTTAAGTCTTCTCTTCAAAAGAAAGGTTACCTCAATAGAAGTGTCATATATGAGCAGGTTTGATCATACTACCAACTAAATCAAAATCCGAAAGGGTTCAAATGATGTTTAAACCATTCTTTTCAGCATTCCAGTCCAAATACATGTAAAAGGGTGCAACAAAGATTTGTTCCCATATATACCTAGTTCAGAGCATTTTTTTTCTGAATACTTTTTCAATCTTGTACCATTCAATTAAAACATCAATAGAGATAAATCTAATATAAAAGCCCACTTGCTTCTCTTTACTTCTGTATCCATTTCTCCGGGAAGTACTTACCAATTTGGTGTGGCCCCACTATTTTATTGATGTAGCACCAAGTTACACAAAACAAACAAAAATATCTAATTGGAAGGATGTAACATATATTGTTTCAAAGATCAATCTGTTAATGCTCAAACATCAAGGAATGCCGACAACCATTGATTTACTACAGAACGGTGATCAAAGTGGATGACAATTCACGAATATTAACAAAGATAGCATTCACAAGGAAACAATGTCAATAAAAATGTGTCACTTGACAAATTAACTATTTAAATTTCAGAATATTAAAGTAACCCCAAAAATCATAACTACACAGAATATTGTGTTGTACGTTTGAATTCTCCCCTTTCTATGTGTGAACCAGGATATTAAACATTTAGATATATATATGTCGACATCAGTTTGCTTTTCAAACAATCTGCTGAAGTGTAACAATTTCTTGTGATTGATAAAGATCATTCATCTCTCAAAAAATGACAGGTAACTGAAGTATATCACATCATCAACGATCAACTATCAGTATGTTATCTCATCTACACCAACCTGAAAAAGTGTTGTGTTACATTTTTTATTTTAAATGTTCAGAAGAGCCTGCAGGTGTCTGTACAGTAAGTTTTATAAAACATTAGAATACATATTTAAAGATAAAACCTTGATTCACTGCAGATTAATCAAATAACATCAAGGCGAAAATAAGCTTGAAGAGAAACAATAGATCAGGTAATTAAGTATTTATAAGACCACCTAAGATACAGTACCATTCATCAATGACAAATGAAAATGCTGCTTCAATATATTAGGAAAATAAAAAAAAATTACTAGTCTGAATAATTTACTATATAGATCCATTTGAAACAGATGCTTGATGGCGTATGAATAACACAAGTTTTGTTACATACCTGGAAACACAATTTGGGAATGCTCTTGATGAAAACTGAAGCATTGAATTAAACAAAGAAAAAAAGGAATATCTTAAAACAAACATTCTTGTACTCCTGATAATAATAAATATGGCAATTTATAGATTTTTGGCCTAAATGCATTGCTATGATATAGCAATTGTAATGAAGAATAACTTAAGTCCATTGCCTCACTGTATTCCTGTTCCACTGTATTCCTGTACAATACACTACAGTGTTGATGGTAGCACTTCTTGGGCCAAGTGCTGGTCACTTTTCATTCAAAAGCCTTTATACATGTTTTCCAACACTCACAATATGGAGCAAAGATCGCCAGAACATGACCCTGGATATGGTGTTGTCAGATCCAGACTCATTATGCATCACTGTCGTGTATCATAGAGGTTCCGAGTGAAAGTTTTGATATCTTTGAAACCAGATTGAAAAGAATTACATAAAGCTAATGGACATAAATCTGAAGAATTTATTTTAGTCTTTTTTAAACTTTGCACCAGTTTACTTTATTTAAAATGTTTAAAAAGACTTTCAAATAATTAACTGTCATATCATTAATTATATTTATTTCACATAATTATTGTACTACCTGAATATTTTCTTTATAAACACCAAAATAAAGATCTCTTCATCTATTTTTAATATGTACAGCATAGACTGGTTCTGAACCCAAATTTAACATTCCAATAATTACATCTTACAATGTAAATAATGATATGTTGTGATGTGTATAGCAAAATTATTTAAATGCATGAAGTCTAGGGAAAAAATTCAACTTGAAACATTTTGAAAGAATATTTCAAATGAAGAAATTTTTACATTAATCACAAAAACAATTATGTTCTGGGCAGATTTGTGAAGGGGAAAAATCAAGTCAACAGCAGCAGCCAATGATACAGTGTCCAATTTGACTTCAGCAGTCAACCATTGCTCAAGGACCCTGCATCAAAGTTGACTGCAGCAGCCAATCAATGACGACGATACTGTATGTCAAAGTTGACTGAAGCAGCCAATCACTGCTGAAGATAATGTGTCAAAGTTAACTGCTGCAGCCAATCACTGCTGACGATAATGTGTCAAAGTTGGCTGCTGCAGCCAATCACTGTTGGCAATAATGAATCAAAAGTTGACTGCAGCAGCCAATCACTGCTAACAATAATGTGTCAAAGTTAGCTGCTGACAATAATCTATTAAATTCAACTGCTGACGATACTATGTCAAATTGACTGCAGCAGCCAATCACTGCTGACAATAACATATCAAAATTGGCTGCTGCAGCCAATCACTGCTGACAATAACATATCAAAGTTGGCTGCTGCAGCCAATCACTGCTAATAATAATGTGTCAAAGTTGACTGCAGCAGCCAATCAATGAGGACGATACTGTATGTCAAAGTAGATTGCTACAGCCAATCACTACTAACAATATTGTGTCAAAGTTGACTGCAGCAGCTAATCACTGCTGACGATAATGTGTCAAAGTTGGCTGCTGCAGCCAATCACTGTTGGCAATAATGAATCAAAAGTTGACTGCAGCAGCCAATCACTGCTAACAATAATGTGTCAAAGTTAGCTGCTGACAATAATCTATTAAATTCAACTGCTGACGATACTATGTCAAATTGACTGCAGCAGCCAATCACTGCTGACAATTCTTTATGTCAAATTTGACTACAGAGCCAATCACTGCTCACAGATCTGTGTCAAAGTTGATCACAGTAAATCCTTGTGATTATCTCTACTCCTGTGGAAGTGGCTTGCTACTGGTATGATACAATAATCATCATCCAACCAGTGACAATAACCAGATTTTAACGATGAATAGACACAGGTCAGCTCTCTCCCACAGAAAAATGTTCTACACAGCGAAATGTATTGCCTTGTATTTTTAATGTGTAATGATTGAGGATTGCTGCGCAGTGTCAATGTTCACATCAGTGGGCCAGCCAGCTGTCCAGATGCCAGTTTACTTGTTGCTAATGAGGCTTTGCGAGGAGGCAGATCTTCTGGAGTAGGGATAGCATCACCCATGGATTCCTGTAATATCATCTTCTTCTCTTTTGCAGCAAGGGGGATCTTTGGGTTGTTCACTTTTGCTTGTGCCATCATGTAATCTCCGGAATCGAAATATTTCTGAAGAAAGATATATAAAACTTAAATAAGCTGCAATATCCAAAAAACATTTTCAAAATAGAACATTTTCATGAGGCGAAATGGACTGGACACAGATGCAGTTTAAGATGGATTTGAAGATTGGCAAAAGATCTTCAATTATTGCATGCTTATTAACAGCAGATATAATGTGATGAAATTAGATTGTTCTCACTACCTACATGTATTAAGCCATAAACTACATGAATATTGAGAATTTTTGTCAATTTACATAAATGATTAAATTATAAAAGTAACAAGTGATCCCGGAGGGATCTTGTCATCAACAATTAATGTCTTCATTAGTTATACATAAGTTTGTTTGTTTTCTCTTAATTTCAAAATTTGGGGGCTATGACTGAATGGGGGGGGGGGGGGCAACAAGTAGGGGGTTATTAGGTAGGGGCAAATCTGTTGGTATGATAGTCTTGTTAACAGTTAATGCATCTTGTGCATGAAGTAACTTTTGATAAATCTTTCACATAGATGGGCTTAGGATTGACCTTTCAAATGATGATTGATGACATTGTTTAATCACTTCTAGAGAAATGGATGTCCAAAACTTAAGCAGAGAAGAACTTGAAATCTTCAAATCAAAGATGACTGCCTACAGCCATTTATTTCTGTTTGATCAGTTCCAAAATGAATGTATGCACAACTATAAATGGGCCATAGGGATTCGTTATTCTGTACCCTGTTCCAGCCCTAGTCCTGTGTATATTAAAGTGGATAGTGCCCCAGGCAGTTTGTCCTCACCTAAACTAGATTTAACGAAAAGTGTGTGCTTCAAGGATACCTGCATTCCCTGCACTTCTACAAGTTAGGGGCCATTCATCATAAAATAATAGCTAAGATATGTTGTAGCAACCTGATTTGGTTTTAGGAGTGTAACAATGCATCGAAATATCGATAGATTGCAATAAATCCTTCCCAATATCAATGCATCGATTGTATATTAAAATGCAATATTTATTGCCGATTGTTCCGTCAGATATCGATTGTTTCAATAGTTATTAAAAGCATCTTCTCGGAGCCTTAAACATGTAAATATTCCGGTCTGGGAATTCCCCCGAAAATGTCCGAGTCATCACTACGTTTGTTCCGCATCGCTTGTCGTTACACTGATTTAGGGGAGATCACTCTCTGAATTCAGAGAATCTTTTCCACGGCAGGCGACATTGTAACTGCTCAGAGGTCCGCATTGAGACCTGACTATGTGGACAAGCTGATCTTCCTAAAGAAGAACTGGAAACTGTATGTTGAACAATACTAGTACTGAACTAGAGGCGACAAAGCTCTATAGAAGTGTCATTCTCTTGATTCTAAGATGGACAAATAAAAACTAAAAAGCGAGTTTAAGTTTCAATCATTTGTGGATTTTTTATTATTTTTACATCTGTATTTATCAATTATAAACACAATGACAACTGACAAATAGAAACATATAAACCAGGCAGTAAGTTGTTTTAGAGAATACCTAGATAGCATTAATTTACATTTGAAATTCGTGATTTAAAACATAGTTAACATACTACAGCTTAATGTTATCTACCCAATAATATTGCAATACTATCGCAATAAAATGTGCAATAATAATAATATTGCAATAGTTTTTCTGCGATAGCAATAATATTGCAATTGTGAAATTGGCCGCAATAGTCACCCCTATTTGGTTTGGTTTGGTAAAACTTTTTTTAACGTCCTATTAACAGCTAAGGTCATTTAGGGATGTGCCTCCATGTGTGTGTGTATGCAGGAGACAGGGTATGTTGGTGTGCTTGTCTCCTTGTGATAGCACGGATCTGATGCCGACTTTATAGTGCTTTCTCACTGAAACATACCGACAAGACACCCAGCAGGACGCCCCACAATTATACAGACAATGGGCAAACCAGTTCTCCCACTCCTTAATTGCTGAGCATTAAGCAGGAGTAGAAACTACCATTTTTACAGACTCTGGTATGTCTCGCCCAGGGGACAGAACCCAAAGCCTTCCCCACAGGGGCTAACGCTCAACTAAAGGCCAAAAGTGAGGCATTGTAAAGGGAGACATAATTAGGAAGAAGAAAGTTGTTTCGAAAGAAGAGAAAAGATAAGATCCCAAATTTAGTCGCCTCTTACGATCATGCAATGGGTGCAGCAGGTACAATTATTACGCCCTACCTGCATGGACGCTTCTTCATGAAGCAGCAGCTGAGATATGCTCTGGAAAACATTATTTAATTACTTAAGGACAAGGAGAAAGGTCCGATGGTCACAGTGACCTCCTTTTAGAAGGCAACACACCATGGCCAGGCCACCTTCCCATGATGTACCTAAACATACAATTTGATGCCCATTCATAAAACATTGGTAGAGATATACTCCGGAAACCAGTCAGGCAAAGCGAATACCATACACCTGACTTCATCGAACATGGGGTATAAAAAAATATCAGTTTTTGGTAGCTAGGTACAAATTATGCAATATTACTCAGTAACAATTTACAAGTAAATTACCCTCTGTTGCATCCTCTTAGCCAGCAAGGCTGAACCTCCTGCCTTCGAGTTAAAGTTAGGATATTTACTCTTCAATTTCTTCTCCTCTTTCTTTTCTTCCTGCATCATTTCCTCCTATTAACACAAACACATTCAGTCATTACCAACACAGAGTTCTCCTGTCATACATCACTCACTTATGCCTTAGGAATATAAACTTGATAATAATGATATGTATAATCATACACAGATTTGAGATACATGTTGTATATAGTGCCCCAGGCTTTATTTATCTTAAACAGAGATAATATAGTCTTATTAATTTGTGCCACTTTTGCTTCCAACTGAAATACAAATGAAATAATATTATTAAGAAATGAAATAAAAGAATGAAATATTTCACTATCAAATCTACTGAACATGTTTTATTTTCCATCACCAGGGATCGATGACAATTTTCTTTTTGGAACAAATTCTAAAGCAACGATATTAATTTATTATTTTGATTTTCTCTCTGCTGCATTTTCCCTTGGGAAGATATTAGATCAATATTTGATTTCCTGATAACATATTCCTGGCAGGTATCAATAATACTGGCATTGATGATATAAGAAGCATGACAACACAGAAGCCTAAAATTAAACCTAGGTATATATGCCATACATGTGCAATGCTGATCAGCTGGTTAACTTGAATATTGTGACCTTCATGTTAGGTTTTAATAATTAATTCGAAGAAATTGATCGATGCTATCATCAATAAAGCTTAATCATGGCCAGATTTAATTATGAGGTAGGTTATTGCAAGCAATTTTCATAATGCAATATTAAGTTGACAGCACTATATATGTAAAATGTGATTGAAATAAAACTGATAATTCTACTGAATTTATATTACAATAATTGTGAAACAAGTTCTATCAACTTAATTATTCACGCTTGTTGCTGTTGACCCGCAGCCTTATGGTAGTGTGTCTGATGTGGGAGTAATCCAAAGTATACCTAGAGAAAACCAATGTCATTGGGCAGGTGACCCCATACTTTTTCTCATCTGATCAGGGAATTGTACCCAGGTCATGTTGTGAAAGTGAAAGGCAACTGCACCATCCACTGCGCCATGCCACCTGACCATAATGTAGTATCCATATTTAAATGTGTAAAGTTGGAGCATGGCATGTAGTCAAGTGAATGAGAAAAGACTTTTTGACACTACAATCATGACTTCAGATATATAGAGGTTCCCCAATGAGTGATGGTTGGTTATCATGTTTATTTAATTTTAGTTAGTTAATTTTTAAATAGTATTAAGACACAAGGTTTACCGAGTGTCTTTCACAATTTTAAAATTAACTAACGAGAGTAGATAAACATGATAACCTGCCATTACAAGTTTGAGGTCCTTTTTTTCTCCCATAACGTTCATATTTTATCTGGAAAGCCATATGTTTCCCTTGAAAATACACTGTGTCAGCTTCTGATGGGGGGGGGGGATTGCTGTGAATAATGACATCACAATGGAAGATGACGTCACAAAGCATTGTTACGTGACGTCATAAGTAAACAAGAATTACGTGTAATTATACGTGTCGCCTGTCCCGCTTTGTCAATATAATAAGCATTTGACATAGTACATAAGGAAACGGACCTTAAACGCAAAATCATAACATTGATTTTTTTAAAGAAATTTCGGGTTTTTATCCGAAAAAGTGCAGAAATCCATGAAATGTTTTCAGAGTAAGTAGGCTTTACTACCCATGATACTTGTATGATTAAGGTTTGGTTGGTTTAGCTCTTATACTTTGTCACAAAGAGCCTAATATGCTAGAGCTAAAATAAAACCTTAACGTTGAGTTTTTTTCTAAGTCCAGAAATTTGAGTTTTTTACCAAAAAAATGCGGAAATCATGGAAATGTTTTTAGTGCAGTAGGCTCCACTACCTATGCTACATCCATGATCGAGGTTTTGTTGGTGTAGCTTTGTCAGAAACAGAGCTAAACGTAAAACCTTAACATTGTTGACGCCGCCGTCGGAAAAGCAGCACCTATGTGTCTTTCCGACATCCGTCGTAGGCGACACAAAAATTGACCAATGTCCACGTCCAGGGTGTTACCTACTAGTGGGTAACCAAAAAAGTTTACCAACTCCTAGCAGGTTTATCCAATGAATTAAGAGTAAAGAAACCTCTAGTGGTTGTGGGAGAAAAAATATATCTGTTGATATATCTGTTAAACCCCTACAATTGCTGACACCAAATTTTTGCGACAGTGTCAGGCTGTTTCACCATAAATCCTGTTCCTCCCGGGTCGTTTCAAACCATGTTCTTTCGCCTTAAATATTGTTTTAGTGCGAAACCTAGTGCGAAACCTTTTAGTCCTTTTTAGTTGTCAATAGCTAATGAAGTCTTGTTTGAAGTTTTTCTATGCTTCCAAGTCTTTTTAGTCATTAGACTCGTCAGATTTGTACATGGTCGACCAGATCTGCATATTAATACCAATGTACAGGTCTATGCAGTACATTGCATGAATTGCAGAATTATGTTCACTTTTTTGGAACCTGCAGGTGAAATCAGATGCCATATAATGTCAAGAATACAATAATAATTGTAAGACTGAAAATATCCAGCATTCCCTTCACAATGTTACTATGCTTTAACCATGCACAACATCTTTATTCTAAAGTAAGGAGAATTAGTTAGTTACTGTATAGTTAATACAAATGATGTAAAAGCTTAGGTCTGATCGACACCACAGCTTGAATCAAATAAATTATTTAACTACGGCACCAAAAATGTCTTCTTGTTGTAAAAGAAATTGATAAAGCTGTCCGAAAATTACGCTTTTCTTTATAATAACATAATAAATCACTAACATGTGTCTAAAACGTGATTACAAATCGTGAAATGAACATCTTTCGTACCCTTGTTGACAACTTCTTTGGGGGTGCTGGATGAACGAACTCCCCTTTCGGCGTCGGTGATTCTCTCTGTTCTTCCTGACTGTCGTTATCAGGTACTGTTTGGTCGCCTGACGTTTGTTCAACTGACAAATCTTCCGAAGACATGTTTGGTTTAAAAAAATGCCCTGCAATAAAATTTGAGCGCCACTTACTCTCTGTACCAAAATATGGCGACAAGTGACGTCAACAAAATTATCCAATCGCTGCCTTCGTAAATATTAACTTCAAAATGTCAGCCACCTATTCCGATACTTAGTGTAAACCTTTCATTGTTTTTTATCCTTATCAGAAACTGCATAAATAGCCACGTGTGCATATATACCACAAACTAATACCTAAACCAGTTTCGATATATTCCACTAATGAAAGTCATTTGCTTAGAAAAATACCAAACCGCAGGTGGAGTAACCAAGGGAGGTAACGTTGCTTCTCTTTCTTTGTTGGCTGATATACCAAGGGAGGTAACCTTGCTTCTTTCTTGGGATTATTGAGTGTATATGTAAAGCGCTAAGTATGTGCACAGGTACTAGCCTCGTCTGTCAATACACCTATTAGACGAGGCTAGTACCTGCGATATGTGTATGTCTGCGCATATAAGATGATAATCGTTTAAGGAATTAAATTTTGCAAAATATGTTTTCCAGTCCACTTTGTGCTTTATTTTACCAGAAAGCTTCTGAAATCTGAAATCGCCTCCATTACGTCCCAAAAAACGTCCACTTATATGCATCCGATATGGGTAGCCCACATCTGTGAACAGCCCTATAGGAATATACCGGGAAGCGTCGATCGTGCGTTCGATATGTGAGCTTTTTAGCTACTTTATGATATATTCCATCGTCACTTACTTGTGTAGATAATATTTAAAGACTACAAACATATAATTGATTTTTTTTTTACAATTTTAATGATGAAACGAGTTCTTCCTGAAGAGACAAACGGTGTGTTGGATGCTATCTAACTGAATATTTGCTTTTCACATAAATAAACACAAAATAATTGATTAAAAATTGAGTAAAATAATGTCGGCGCACCACGGCCCTTTCTTTACAATATGTAGATATACGATTGGAATTTACAAAAAAATGCACCGCGGTACAATAATTTATATACTCAAAATGAGCAGCAACCCGTGTTTTTTTTACTCCCAGTCATAAATCTTGAAACGTTTTATATTCTTTATTGAATCCAAGGAATTTAGCACATGATAAATATACACACCACTTCGAAGAATATTGCAAAAAAAGAATCTGTCCGTTCAAGTCTCACAAAGATGAGTAATTTATCAATGAACCACCTGATCAGATATGTAATGTGCATAACATGGTCCAACATTATTTGCCTCGTTTCTGACTTTCATCTGTCGAGTGATGCAGATGTAATGACAGATTGTGTTTCGCATGTAATGCTGTGACAGTACTTACGCATTTCATTAATTTATATTTTTCTTGAAATTGATCCTTATACCAGAGACGTAATATATAGGTTTCTGCTTATACATATCCTCGTTATCTCGCCTGAGGACATTGTTGTTAAATTGGAAATTGGAAAACACATAATCTACAACAATTGCAATCTACATACTGGCTGCAGGTACCCCTTGCCCACCTGCTGACATCCCTTTGATGCCATACTACAGGTATGTAGGTATGTCTTGGGCCTCCTGCTGTCAGTACTGGACACAGGTGTTAGGTGTTATTTACCTGTACACAAATTTCACACCTAAGTATGCTAAGGGAGTGGAGCGAGATGATTTGCATTATTTAACCAAGATGTTAAATTATAACTTGTGGAAACAAAAATGTTTGAATCACATAATTCAATTACATTTCGAGATAAATGTAATCACGGATTAGATTATTAGCATCGCACACATATATATATAGGTACTGTATTGTATACAATTAAATATGTAACTGTCGGTATTTTGCTGTTTATTTGAGATGTCGACCTAACACAAGGAAGACACAATGTCGTCGATTTGTCATTACTAAAAATATTGACATTTTAAAACAGCAGACACCAACGCTGAAATTATTTCGAAACATGTTTCACTGATATATTTCCGTATTTATAACTTTGTAATATAAATATTCCGGCACAGAAACTGGTCACGAAGTAGTGCTGTTCAATGACGACATGATTGGATAAATCCTCACTGTAGAGCAGAGACATATAAAGTATATACGTCTCTGTGTAGAGTAAAGAAAATTATTGCAAACTGACTTTTCAGCTAAAATTAAGAAATATCTAGTTGGTAGGTCGTCTCAAAGCGGTTCACAAATTATTATCCCGGCGTGGTTATAATATACTCGGGAAGTATTTCACATACTTAGGTATTATATTTAACTATAATGGAAATTTCGCTAAAGCGCGAAAAAAACTGATTGATCAAGCTCAAAAATCATTTTTGCACTTTACAAAAAAAATCGGAATCATGCGCTTCCGATGGACATACAAATTAAGCTTTTTGAATCTGTTGTAGAGCCAATATATTACTATACGGCTCAGAAGTGTGGGGTTTTGAAAATTTGAAAACGCTAGAGCAGAAGCAACTGAAATTCTGTAAGAGAATTTTAAAAATCAGATCTATAGCACTCCTACTTTTATGGTATATGGAGAAATTAGTCGGTTCCCAATGGAAATAAATATTAAACTTAGAATGGCACGTTTCTGGAATATTTTAATCGATACGCGTAATGAAAGTAAACTCAGCAGTATATTGTTGAGATTGGCACTTAATTTACACGACACTGAATCATATTCTTTTAAATGGGTTGGTAAAGTTAAAAGTATTTTTGAGGAATCTGGTTTTTCATACATTTTTGAAAATAAGATACGTATGTTCTTTAAAAATCACCTTAAACAAAGACTTAGAGATCAATTTATACAAAATTGGTTTTCCGAAGTTCATAATTCGTCGAGAGGAGAATTCTACTCAATGTTCAAGTGTGAATTCGGTTTTGAAAAATATTTGATAAAATTGTCAGAAAATAATAGATTACCTATTACCAAACTACGTACGTGTAATTTAAAATTTCCCGTTGAAACTGGGAGGTGGCAGAATATTCCAAAAGTAGATAGGATATGTAACCTTTGCCTTGAAAATATTGGAAATGAATTTCATTATCTTTTTACTTGTAGTAAAAAGTATCTTTTCACTTTGAAGTGAAAAATTTACAAAGGAAATACGTTCCAAATTACTATCGTACAAATCCAAATGAAAATGAAAGGTCTTTTGGTAATATGTCACGAACAAATTCTGAAAGGATTATCAATTTTCCTAAAGAAATTGATTCCTTTACTTTAAGCTAAAACATAATACTATTACTTGTTGCTTCTATAGGTCCATAATATTGAAGCACATTATGGGTCCATACATTGATATGTACAAATCAATGTGTAAAATAGGTGACTATGTGAGTATTTTGGATACGGAAATGTATGCATATGTGCGTGTGTGTGTGTATATGTATCTGGGATGTAGTCATATGTTTGTGAATATATGTGTGAATGCGCGTATATATGTAGGCGTCTGTTTGTTGGTATGCATTGTATCCGCATGGATGTGCATGTGTATATATATATATATGTATGCAAAGGTCTGGATATGCGTGGCTATCTACATATATGTACGCATTGCTGTGTCTAATTACGAAATAGTTAATTATATACATAGTAATATATATATCAGTATCTTCATATACATGCATGCACCTGTCCATCCTGTCATAATTTGATATATGAATTCATGTACATGAACCTCATGTTACACATTTTCATGTGTCTGAGTGTTGGAAATAAAATCTGAAATCTGGAAACAAAGTAGATCTACCTAAGTCTACAATTCGAAAGGGAAGCATTGCATTTGTCCTTTTCAAGATGAGATTAGTCAATACAATAGGCCTATACGGAATCAAGCACTGGTCGTTTGCGCGAGTAACGCCGCCGGGGTGTAAGTTAAACTTTCCCGCCATTCGAAGCTGTTGTAAAACGACATCGCCTTTTCCATTTGTTAAAAAAAATATATTTATTGTTGTCACTAGACTTAACCCGTTATCTAAATAAATACTTACATGTGGGTTTCTGTTAGATTTATATAGGCTGAAAGAAGACTGCAAGAAGACTGCATGCTTATGCCGTTTTACGACATTCAATGTGTGCTTCCTGTGTTGTTGTTGCGCCCTTTTTACGGCTGTACGGCATGTGGTTTGAGATTGCCAATCAAGACTTTTAAACTTTTAATCCAATGGTTGTTCTATCCGAAGTCAGCAATATGTTTTGGGGTAGGTTGATGACGACTATGAAACTTCTCTGTCAAACAAGAACTAAGGTTCCACGAAGACAGATCTCACCCATGCTTGTGAACTTCAAGTTTTTTTTCATGTTAACTGGTTAAGCTAAACACGTGTTCTCATTTCACATGAGTCAGAAGTTCTGCTAGTAGATTGAATAAAAATACAGATAGGAACTCCCTATTTCAATGGAGAGGGGTTCTTTTCCGTAATTTTATTCCACTCACAAACAGAACTTTCTGTGTTATTTCATTATGTAGTTAATGAACGGAACAATACTAAAACAGGAATTCGTCGTTGTATGCAGGAGTGCCCCATAAAAAAAACAATTTTAAATGAGACTGTCTACTATATATAGATTATATATGTATTTGAACACATTTGTAGACAGATCTACTGAGAACTGTGCATAAAAACACATAAGAAAACATCATAAATTAAAGTTTTATCAATTATTGCTTGAGTTTCCAGCTGATATGTTAATGAATGGATTTGATATATGGGATCATGTTCTGCATTTTCCAATTAATTAACAAGAGGTTGCTTTGCAAACTTTGGAAGAATTCAATTAGTTTCAAGAATCAAGTGTAGCAGAACTGAACTGTGTCAATCGATAACGAACGGGTAGCTAAATTGATTAAAGCGTCCGTTTATAGGAGGGTCCAGGGTTCAAACCCCAGTCTGGCTGTGTATTTTTCTGCTCCAGTTACACAAGCTTAAATGTGAACAGGACCATTCATGCATTTTCTCTAATGTCCAGGTCACACTACATGAATCTCATTTTATTTGTAATTACGGTTGAATCCAGGTGTGACCTTAGATGGCGGTAAACACTACACTCAGACAGTGGAGCGCTCTTTCCACATCTCCATGGCAGCTCTGGAACCTAGTGCTGGTATGCATAAAATATACATTAATTCAATATATTTTTCTATTTGTTTCAGAGATTTATATTGTATGTCCAAGAGCATCCTCGATATCCAGGGCTCTCTTTCGCTCTCTACACCCCTGGAATATGTCATAGCAAAATTGAAGGCTTCGTGTGTGCCACCTTATTGATGAGACAAGAAGACTAGTTTGATCCTTTGATGTACATCAAAAGAATCTTGCAGTCATGTAAATGGTAAAAATTGACAGGCTTTGAAGTCGGGCGTCTCTCCTTTTAAATCTTCAAAGGACAGGTGTCAGCCTAGCGATTGGTCAGTTTTTATTTAATTGAGACCAATCAAACAGCTATCTTCTGCCTTCAATTTTGCTATGACATATTCCTGGGGTGTAGAGATCAAAAGTGAGCATAAGCCCTGGATATCGAGGATATTGGTCCAAGGGTATCTAATGTTCTATTATTTAATATCAAAATTGACGGATTAGAATGTAATTACCCATTTCAAAATAAAACTTGTAATATAATAGAAAAACAATACTATGTACATATAAGGATAAATTTATGTTAAACTTTCAAGAGCAATTCATACAATAGTACTTGAACTTTAGATGATTTGAAGTAACAATACAATACTTACAGGTATGTACATGTATGTATATTAACTTATAATATTGTTTTTTCTATTATAAACAGCCTCTAATGGGAAGTTGTCGAAGCAGCCAGTATCTGTGATGATTCAGCATGACAAGGCAGAATTCATGCTTTGTACACTAGAACAGGGACGAGTTTACCAACAGACACTGGACCTCAACTTCACTGAAGGTGAAGAAGTCACCTTCTTCTTAAATGGCACAGGTGAGGGATATTTATTTCATTACATGTTCAGCATATAACTTGTAAAAATGAAACTTACGTCTGGAATGAAACTACTTAAATTTTAAACTTACCTGGTCCGAATTCGGACCATGGTGAGCTTATGCCATACCGTCGCCTCCATCCGTCCGTCCATCCATCCGTCAACTTTTCCTTTAAAACACTACTAGTCTTGAACAGCTTTATGGATTTTGTCTTAATTTGGCCTGGAGCATCCTTGGGCAAATGGGACTAAATTTGGTATAAACGGAGGATGTGGCCCCTCAAGGTGCAGAGGTATGGGGCCCAGTAGGGGAATTTGAGGTTTAAATCTTAAAATTCCTTCAAATCCTTCTTCTTCTGTACCATGAAACTGCATACAAGTGTTTGGTATGGTAAGGCCTTGGACAAGTTCGCGTTTCTGGTTTCTATGTTTAAGGTCAGGGTCACTGTTACTATGTTTAGATTGCTCTTCCGACTTCATTCCTCAACGGAATTTCATGAAACTTCATACAAGTGTTTAGCATGACAATACTTTGAACAAGTTTGTGTTTCAGGTTTCTACATTGAAGGCCAAGGTCATTGTTACTATTTTGAGAAAAAAACTTTGTCATCACTTTAGCCACTTCATTACTGAATGGAATTACATGAAACTTCATGCAAGTGTTTGGTACGGCAATACCTTAGACAAGTTTGCGTTTCTGGTTTCTATGTTCTAGGTCAAGGTCACTTACTATTTTTAGGTCACCTGAGACAAAGTCTCAAGTGACCTATTGCAAACGCCTTTCGTCCGGCGACAATTTATATTTTCGACTTCTTCTCCAAACCCCTGTACCAATTTTAATGATTTTTTTCAGAAATCTTCCATGGCCAAAGGTCAACTAAATTATAAATCATATTGTCCCCAGTCCCCAGGAGCCTGAGGGGCGGGGCCAAAAATGGTTAAATTGACTAGAATTTCAAAAACCTTCTCAAGATACAGATATGGTAGAATCAAATACTCTTCATAGATGGAAGGGTCCTAAGGTGCTTTACCAAAACAGTGAATTTTATGACCCTGGGGTCTCACATTTCCCCCTGGTGAGGGGATAAATTTTGCTATAGTTTATATAGGGAAATCATATTTTGGACCAACATTTGTTTAATTTCCATTGGAATTAATTCAAACTTTGTTAGCATTATCAGCATTGGATAGAAGTATGATGGTATGCACATATCAGCCCTGACTGACCCCCAAGGGCTAATGGGTGGGGCCAAAAAGGGTTGAGTTGAATTGACTGAAATTTCAAAAATCTTCTTCTCAAGACCCAAGATATGGTAGAATCAAATACTCTTCATAGATGGAAGGGTCTCAAGGTGCTTTACCAAAATTGTGAATTTCATGACCCTGGGGTCTTACGTTTCCCCCTGGGGAGGAGGTTAACTTTACTATAGTTTAATTGTGAACTATATGGTCCCCAGCCCCCAGGAGCCTGAGGGGTGGGGCCAAAATGGTAGAATCAAATACTCTTCATAGATGGAAGGGTCTTAAGGTGCTTTACCATAATTCAGCTGACTGACAGAACCACTATTTGTAAGTAACTACTTACATATGGAAATCAAGGATGATACTACCCAGATCTTTCACACTTAATTATTTCTTTTTCATTTGGCAACATCGACTACATCAGTTTTTACATAACTCAGGTGACCAATAAGGCCCATGGGCCTCTTAATAGAAAAATATTCGTCATTCCTCAACAGAATTTCATGAAACTTGATACAAGCCTTGAACAAGTTCTCCTTTCAAATTTCTACTTTGAAGGTCAAGGTCACTGTTACTATTTTTAGAAAACTTTGTCATCGCTCTAGCGACTTCATTTTCTCTTACATATGTCACAATGTTGAAAGGGGACTAAATTTTGTATAAACGGAGGGGGTGGCCCCTCTGGATGCAGAGGTGTGGGGCCCAATAGGGGAATTAGAGTTTTAAATCCCTCTTCTTCAGTACCATTGGAGGGATTTTATCCAAATTTGGTAAAGAGCATCATTGGGCAAAAGGAACTCAATTTTGTATACATGTAGGGTTGCTTTTAGGGGGCAGAGGGATGGCCCCAATAGGGGAAATTGAGATTAATGTTTAAAATCCTTTCCAATTAATTGGGGTAGAAAGAATGAACCTAATGAGAGACGGAGCTCTCATTAATGATTTGAGAGCAGAGCCAATATTTGGAAATAGTTGTGATATGTAATAAGAAAAATTGTCCAAGGTTGCTTTATTATCCAGGTGAGTGATACCTGCTGGGCCTCTTGCTGTTCTTTCAAATACACTAAAAATGTATAATGGGTCATTTCTGATGTATATTTACTCTTTTCCTTCTTAATCACTTTCAGTTGTATAGGGATAAAAGAAATGTTTGTTTTAATGGAGTAGAAATGAGTGTGACTAGTGAACTTATCAAGTTTAATATCGTTGTGTGGAATCCTTCAGTTTAAAATAGGTGTTTATCATTGTTCTGCATCATCCACAATTTAATTTTAATGTATGTACACAGTGTATCTGTTCTGTTGTGCATAAATTCTTCCGGTTTTTTTTACAGGAATTGTGCATCTGACCGGTTACCTGGTGGAGGATGAGAATATGATGTCGGACCTGGAAGATATGGATGATGCTGATCTCAGCATGGAGGATATGTCAGACTCAGACTCTGACACAGGTAAAATACACCAGTTCTTATTAATAATTGATTCCGTGACTCCCATCAGTTTCTCAGCATGGAGGATACTGGTATGACTTGTAACCAGTAAATTAATCTGTGTCATGGATTGTTTATTCATTGGTTTCCAAATAATGTTTCACCCTAGGAGATATGTCATACTCTAGATCAAAGTTGTATACAGGCTCTCACTGTATTGTCAAACTTTCTATAATGCCAAACTTAGCTGGACAAATGATGGCAGTATAACAAGCTTATGCCGTAGTTATATTAATTTTTTGGATTCTTTTGTCATTGCTCATGTAGAAATTAAATGTTTAAATGTCACGGATGTTCTTGATTATAAAAATACTAACTACTAAAATGCAAGCCTTGAACATCACATACAAGTTTTACTCATAAATATGTCAAATAATGGTTTAATATTGAACACCCAGACACAGGTTATGTAAAGGAGAAAGGCTGAAAAGTGTCCATTCTGTGAGAGAATGGACTGATCGAGGCCCATAGAACGGACAATTTAAGGCTTTTCTCCTACTTAAAACACAGTTGTGACATCATGAATTGTTCTTGCTATTAATATGCCAATAATACAGGTGGTCAGCAATCACCTGCTATAATGGCCAATTGACACAGATGTGGCTAGGGCATATCTTATGTTCTTTAACTACAAGGGGATTAGAGCTTATAGTGTGACTATGTGACACTATTTGCAGGAATTTATACATTCCGTCATTAAATATTTGTTAGTTTGTCCGATATCTAAACCAGAACATATTCAGTTTTTCAAGAAAAACTAATATATAGATGGTATATCCTTTCATGTTAACAGTTTCCTTACCAGAATCACTCGAATAGATGCAAAAATGGAAGTACAGCATTTCATAAATTAAATAAGTTGTCCATTTCCAGGAGCTATAGTCCAAACATATGGGGCCATATAATTAATTCAAATTTCTGGTATGATATGACCTGACCAATAATAATGTGTCTCACATTTTGAAAAATTGAAAAGGCACCCAAAGTATAAATCTCAATAGCTCTTTTTTTTCTCTTTTTATACAGTACCTGGGTAATTGTGCTTCCTCAAACCTTTACAATATAACACTTTAATTTTGTCCTGATTGTGAGCTTTTTGGTTTCAGCACCTGCTCTTGTGGATCCAGATGATAGTGAGGACAGCGACGATGATGAAGACGAGAGCCCTGCTATAACAGGTATTATTATTTTGTAGAATCTGATTCATCCCATACATCAATGTTCAGGACAACACCAATTCTACTTCACATTTAGTTTTTCAAATATTGTTTACCAGAAATATTACCAAACTCAACTGAATTCACAGAGATGGATTGTTTTGGCAAAACTTATGAAAACTAAGTAACCAACTTGAAATGTGGGTGTTGACCTACATTTGATTAAACACACATTTTTAGCCCACCATCATCTGATGGTGGGCTATTCAAATCACCCTGCGTCCGTGGTCCGTGGTCCGTCCGTCGTCCGTCCATAAACAATTCTTGTTATCGGTATTTCTCAAGAAGCGCCAGAGGGATCTTTCTCAAATTTTATATGCAGGTTCCCCTTGGTCCTTAGCTGTGCAAGGCAACTTTTGAGACTGATCGGATAAACAACATGGCCAACAGGCAGCCATCTTGGATTTTGATATTGAAAGTTTGTTATCGGTATTTCTCAAGAAGTATCAGAGGGATCTTTCTCAAATTTTATATGTAGGTTCCCCTTAGTCCTTAGCTGTGCCGGGCACCTTTTGAGACTGTTCGGATAAACAACATGGCCGACAGGCAGCCATCTTGGATTTTGATAGTGAAAGTTTGTTATCGCTAATTCTCAAGAAGTACTAGAGGGATCTTTCCCAAATTTTATATGTAGGTTCCCCATGGTCCTTTGCTGTGCAGGGCATTTTTTTGAGACTGATTGGATAAACAACATGGCCAACAGGCAGCCATCTTTGATTTTGATAGTGAAGGTTTGTTATCGCTATTTTTCGGGAAGTACGGGAGGGATCTTTCTCAAATTATATATGTAGGTTCCCCTTGATCCCTCGTGGTGTATGTTATATTTTGAGTCTGATCATAAAAACAAAATGGATTAAAAGACGACCTAAACAGATCTTTCTCATATTGCAATTATTGATTCTATTTCTTTCACATTAAGTACTGTACTAGTAAATATGTGAAAAGACAAACTCACTTTGAAGCTTGGCTTTCATACACATCAGTATTAAGTTTAGATCAAAAGTTACCTCAAGGTGCATTTACTGTTAACATGACTCGATCAAACAGATTAGAGGAAAGAAGAGAAAAGATCGAACTGACAAAGAACTAATGAAAATGGTACAAAGGTGGGCGCCAAGATCCCTCTGGGATCTCTTGTTTACTGAACTATTCAAAGATATGTCTACTTTGTTTTGATGGCCAGGTTATACCCAATATTCATGTGCAGGAAATATCAATATTTTTTAGTTTCAAACAAAAAACGAAAACAGGAACAGAAAGAAAAACCAGGAAAAAAGAAAGCTAAGGTTGTAGTGGTGGAGGAAGAAGAAGATGATGATGACGACGACGAAGATGTATGTATAACATTTTAGTAATTATTGTCCTGATTGTCAATAACAAAAGGGTTAATTAGGCCCGTTGCTAATTACTGTAACCTTCAATTAAAACTTTGTTATGCCCCATCTTTTTATTGGGGGACATTTAGTGTTACCCATGTCTGTCCCCGTCTGTCCAATCCCTCTTGTCCAGGGGTCATTTAGTGTTACCCATGTCTGTCCCCGTCTGTCCAATCCTTCCTGTCCCGGGGTCATTTAGTGTTACCCATGTCTGTTCCTGTCTGTCCAATCCCTCCTGTCCCGGGGTCATTTAGTGTTACCCATGTCTGTCCCCGTCTGTCCAATCCCTGCTGTCTCATTGCTTTGTGATGACTTTACAGACTTTATTTCTTAACAGATTTTCATCAAAGTTAATACAAAGGTCATGTATGAGAATATCTCGGATCTGTTTGTATTTCATTGTCCCAAGTTCATTGGCAAGATCATTCTTTCGATTTATATGCATTGACTTTTTAGGATGAATTAGGATCATTATCAGGCCCCTTCCCCAAGATAAATTCTGCTGTATTATTCCAGTATCATAATAAAAAAAAACATCCCTTTTCCCAAATGATGCTTTTTAGCTCACCTGCCCGAAGGGCAAGTGAGCTTATGTCGTACCGCGGCATCCATCGTCCGTCATCCGTCTGTCGTCAATTTTTCCCTTTAAAAGCCTTTATCTGCTGAATGACTGATTGGATTTTAACTAAATTTGACATGAAGCATCCTTGGGACCAGGGGCTCAATGGATTTATGAAATAAGGGTGTGGCCCCCTAGGGGGTTTAGTTAGGGACCAATAAGGGGGAAATTTAGGGGGGGGGGAATCTTCTCCATTTCCAGAAATGCTAAAACCAAATACTACTCATAGTTGTAAAGGCCTTCGGGTGGTTTATCAAATTTGTGATTTTCATGTCTCCAAGTCGCCCCTCCCTTCCCCGTTTGTTCCTGGGGAGGAGGTGAAGTTTAGTATAGTTTATATAGGAAATAAATATAATAGGCCATATCTTCCATTGTTTTGAACAGAAGTTGTTCATATTTGACAGAAATACTTGTTAGGGGCAGAGGGTCTGCAGGTAAAAAAAAATATGAGCCTGACCCCCTAGAGGGCTGAGTTAGGGGCCGAAAAGGGGGGGGGGGTTTCAAAAATCTTCTCCTCTAGTTACAAAAATGCCAGGATCAAATAATACCCATAGCTGTAAGAGCGGTTGGGTGGTTTATAAAAATTGTGATTTTCATGTCTACCAGGCCCCCCGTTTGCCCCTTGTGAGGGGATGAAATTTAGTATAGTTTAAATAGGAAATATACATAATAGGCCATATCTTCCAATGTTTTGAACGTAGTTTGCTCATATTTGACAAAAATACTTGTTAGGGGAGGAAGGTCTGCTGGTATAATTTTTGTGACCCTGACCCCCTAGGGGTGAAAAAGAAGGTGAATTTCAAAAATCTTCTTCTGCAGTTCCATAAATGCTAGTATCAAATACTACTCATAGTTGTAAAGGCCATCGAGAGGTTCTGTGATTTTCATGTGCCCCAGGTCCCTCGTTTGCCTTTGGGGAGGGGGTACACTTCGGTATTGTTTATATAGGCAATTCGACAAATGAACAGCCGGCCATCACAAACTTTTTATCTCCAACCTAACTAATGTGCTAGTAATAGTAACAACCTTATTTCTTTATGAATTATAAAGTAATGCTTCCAAGTTCTTACCCTACATGTCTGAAGTGGTTACAAATTGGCATTACAGAGCAAATGTAAACATTGTGCCATGATTGCTTAAATAGCCAGGTGAGCGATACAGGCCCCTTGGCCTCTTGTTTTGTATATGTTCCCAGTCACAAGGCACAAGCCCCAGTGGAAAAGAGGTAGAAAAATGACTGATGCTTAATTAATCACAAGGCCATGGGAGCATTCATGTCTTACAACATTTTCTAGCTCCTTATAATTTTGCTATGTTGTATATATATGCAAGTGTTTGATCAATTAAGGTTTTGATTTTTCTTCTGATGATGATGTTGCCCTATTTTAAATTCTATTTTATGAAATATAGACTTTCAACAAAACAATTATGTTAATTTCACAATTTTACATTTGTCTACTTCAAAATAGCTTTGATCCGTTAAAATTTTCCAGCATAATATTTTCATTTTCAGATGTCATTAATTCTTTCTGCTGCTGATCTTGGTGATGACGATGATGATGGTGAGATAACGTTTGATTTAGATTAAGTTTGATAGATAATGAAGTTGTATGTGAAAAATACCACATGAATACTTAAAAAAGTAAAAAAAATAAAATATACAGTACATCAAATTACTCATGGCTGAGTTGTTAAAGCATCTGACCGTCCATGAGTACTAGCCCTCTACTTCTTGGTTGCAGGCCCATGTTGATAGTGTTACTTTAATTTAACATAGTTTAACCCCATTCACAAGTAATTAATGTATCAAACATGACCCGACTGGTCCCTTTTCATGCTGACTGAAAGAGTGATTTATTTCGTTAACCTCTACATACGATGTTGTGAAATTGTGAACTTTATTTCGCACTAGACTATGGGACGTCGATAGAAATTGTAAATATTATCAAATGGGTCATTTGTTAGATGTCGATCTACAAGCCTCCTCCCATTTAGGTCAGTGGGCTGGGTCATACAGATGACTAAGCTGGTGTAGCCCTCATCTCAATTGATGCTTCAAGTTTTCCCTTATTTCTGGTTCAGTGTATACACTCAGTATCCATAGGCAAATGTTGCCCTATAACGTGCCTGTGGTTAGTGTCATCTTTCTCCTCATGGCTAGTATTGGTGAAGAAAAACATGGTGAAAATACATGTATTATGTTTATACCTATTGCCTACAGATGACGATGATTATGAAGATGCTGATGATGATGATGATGATGATGATGAATTGAACGATGAAATAGAAAAACAGATAACAGCTAAAAAAGTGAAGCCAGTGAGCACACCAAAAAGTGGAAAGAAATCTGCTGTTAACACTCCAAAGAGTGAAGTGAAGGCCACACCACAGCAGAAAAAGGAACAAACACAGGTACGTACATGTATATCATAATAACCGATATCATAATACCGTAAAAACCCATGTAATTTGCGCACCTGCGTAATTTGCGCAGGTACTTTTTGAGGCTGAAAATCGGGGAAAAAAGGTTATACTCGAATATTTTGCGCACCCAAAAAATCTGGAAAAAAAATGATGTTCATGCTCCGAATATCGATCTCTGAATATATTTTTTTTAAATATATTTCTATGATTTTTTTTTCATTGATGTAAAATGATATTTAAAACCAAGAAGAAACTACGTAAAATGTGTATTTTGTTGCTTGTTTTCTTTGAATTATCTGATCACACATGACACACACGTGTGCGCATATCGGCATACATCAATTCATTTTAGCAATATTTTACATAAAACATTTACTTGCTTACAAAAACATATCAATTAATAAGTAATTCGATGTTTAGTAACCGCTGGTGCATATCTCCTGGTGAAAGACATAATTAGATACCTTTTATTGATCATAATTACGATCAGTGAGAAGGGCTCATCATGGCGGCTTGGGTTACGTCACTTCAAACCAGGTCATGTCACAGTTCAGTTTGGCCACGGAATTAGATTATCTAAGTCCGTGGTTTGGCGATATTTTTTTACAAATTACAATGCAGTAATGAGCTAACACTATCTCTGTGATTACCCGCAAACAATAGCTCTACTAATTGAAATGATTTGCAGTCGTGATCGACGGACCGTGTTGTTGTTTTTTTCACTCGCCAACACGTGGCGTGAATTACGAAGCCCTACTGCATTGTCATAACTACAGACTGATTTGACTGATAAGGGATTATAAAAAATATGTTTATACTAGAAGCGTGGACAATCAATATATCGTCTTCAAATCTACTCCAAGGAAAAAAATAGTTAACGCAGACTATTTTTACGATGCTTCATTTAATAAATATTGAAATAATTCACGAGGTTATTATCAATCACGTGTTTACGTAATGTTAGACGCAAGATCAACATGAAAGTGAGCCGGTAAAAACCCATGCTATAGGTATACGCATAGGCGATTTGAAAAAACTTACAGAACTTACATAGAACGGAGCTTAAATTGAACAACTACATTTTCGTAATAGTATGGGGAAACGCACCGAGATGTCGAAACGTAATGTCGTAAGTTGATCGGCGATTCTCTGGCATAGGAATTTGGCTAAACTTTTTTTGTTAACGGTTACCTATTTATTAATACTTTTCACATAAACTCACATAACAACACATTATGTATCTTTTATTAATGTTTGACATAAATAAATTTGTTGATCGTCATTTGTCTTAGAGTTCCGTGTACCAAGGGACATAATCCAAGATGGCGATCCCTCAGAATCGTCTATCTTTTCCTGAAAAAAAAATGAATTTTTCTATACCTGTGTATTTTACGCACCCCCACTTTGGGTATTAAATTTCTGAAAAAAAAGTGCGCAAATTACATGGGTTTATACGGTAAGTGGGTTCCACTGTATTAATACATGGGTGAAAAAACATGTTTTTACATATGAGTTTAAGTTAGACACAGTTCTCAACAAAAATATATTAAATTAAGCACAATTCTAAATTATCATATATACATTTTTTCTCACCATAGAAAGCCAGTGTAAATTCAAAGAACAACATTTAAAAAAAACTGTTATTGTTTCCAACAACATAACCCCTCTACTCAGATTTACGCACAAACTATCTTACTGACAATTTTTTTGAAAGGAATTCTTGAAAGAGTTTAATTTTAGCCCACCATCATCAGATGATGGGCTATTCAAAAGGCCTGTAATCCGTGGCTTGTCGTCTGTCTGTCATTCCGTCTGAGTTCCATCCATCCGTCCTTAAACAATTCTTGTTAGCGCTATTTCTCAGAAAGTACAAAAGGGCTATCTTTCAAACTTCACGTCCCAAGGTCCCTTGTTATGCATATCCAATTTTGGGAATGATCAGAAAACCAAGACGGCCGACAGGCAGCCATCTTGAATTTGGAGAAGTTACGTTTGTTATTTCTCAGGAAATACCTGAGGAATCTTTCTCAAATTTGAAATGTAGGTTCCCCTAGGCCTGTAGTGGTGCATGTTTACTTTTGAGACCGATCATATAAGTAAAGTGGCAGCCATCTTGGATTTTGACAGTGAATGTTTGTTATCTCTATTTCTTAGCAAGAATTTGAGGGATATTTCTAGTTTTATATGTAGGTTCCCGTTGGTCTGATATTTACTTTTGAGACTGATCGGAAAAGCAAAATGGCAGACAGGTGGCCATCTTGGATTTTGGCAGTTTATTTGTTATCGCTACTTCTCAGGAAGTACTGGAGGCATCTTTTTCAAATTTGATATGTAGGTTCCCCTTGGTCTCGCTGAAACTACAAACTCACATCTGAAGGTTTTCTCTTATAGACAGCAGTATGAAGTTTAGATCAAAAGTTACCTCCAGGTGCATTTACTGTATACATGATTCGATCAAACAGATTAGAAAAAATAAGAGAAAAGATCAAACTGACGTAGAACTAATGAATATGGTACAATGGTGGGCGCCAAGATCCCTCTGTGATCTTTTATGGTTTTGAAAAGCATTTTTTCCAATTTTTGTTTTCAACAGAATGGTTCAGAGACAACAGAAAGCACAAAAAAGAAAAAGAAGAAAAAGAACAAAGAGAAAAAAGATGACAAAGAAAAGACCCCAGGTCCAGGAGGAGATGCAAAAAAGGTCAGAATGATTTTAAACTGTCAAGATACAACAATGTTATCTCTCGTCCATTAAAATAGTGGGAACCCAGGTGGAATATTTTGAAGAGGTAGATTATAGGTATTACTTGGTCTACAATTATGTGTCATGCTGTCATCATCAAGATAAGGGTTCTTGAAGGAATAACAAGATTTTAAGCTGAATTAAAGGAGAACATGTTTATGAAAATTCTAATTCTGAGCCTCAGTGTGGGGAATTTGGAGGATCTTTTAAAGTACAAATTTTACAAAATCCTTATGTTTGATACGTTAAGTTGAACTAGGTATTGCACTTGAAGGATTGATATTGAAGATGTTTTTAACATTTACTCTCTAACAACAAATTGATTTATTTGAGTATATCTAACATGCCCCATTTCTTTTTAGGTCACCTGAGACAAAGTCTCAAGTGACCTATTGCGATCGCCTTTTGTCCGTCGTGCGTCCGTAAACAATTTACATTTTCGACTTCTTCTCCAAAACCCCTGAACCAATTTCAATGAAATTTTGCAGGGACCTTCCATGGACAAAGGTCAACAAAA